GTGTGTGTGTGTGTGTGTGTGTGTGTGTGTGTGTGTGTGTGTGTGTGTGTATGTGTGTGTGCCTTTCTCGCTCTTCTCTGTGACTTGAACCGCGCCAACCACCTTCCTGAATATACCTGCTCACTACTGCTTCGTCTCCTTCCTCCCCTTGCAGCTATGGCCGCCTTTGTCTTCCTCCTATACCTTAGCTATGGCGTGCTCAACCCTCAGCGGCTGCGCTCAGTCCGACAGTCCAACTTGAAGTCGCGCAAGCACTACAGCAGAGCTTCTACAACATGTGAATTGACAAGTGCCCATTGCTTGCACTGTAGCAACTATAAATAGCAGCTGAAGTGAATCAATGCCGGCTCCGGACCTCTTACCACCCCCTCTAGTGGCCCTGGGCTGGTTAAAAAAAAAAAAAAAAAGGTCGGCTCCGGACCGGTCTAGCGGCCTGTCGGCTGCAGTTTGCCAGTTCTGGAAGCTACCGGACTTCACCAAGGATGCTGCTGAACGTGGACTTTTGGGACCGCGGACTTTTCTTGTCGGGTACTGGGCCTTCGACTCCTAACTATTGGACCCTACAATGCTTCGAGACCTAGGACTTGCCGGACTCCTAGGGCCTAACCAGGTCACTGCCTGTGCTCTCCTTCGCTCTATACCTTCCACCATCTCAGTCGTGCTGCTGATTGTTCTCCTTCCCTCCACGCCTTCTACGATCTCACTCGCGCTCCTCGCAGTTGATTTCCCCTGCTCCCTCCGCCCGCCTCCTTTCTTCTTACACGCACGACGCTCATGCCTTGCATGCGCAAGCGAGCACACGATGCTCACGCCATGCACGATTTCACATTTCTTTTTTACTGTGGCGCTTTCCCTATGGGCCCCCTCTTCCGTCTGCACGCTGCCCTGCTCCTTTTTTCCCACGGGCCCTGCGCCGTTTCGCCTCGGCACACGTGACGGCAGGCCCGACCACGATCCCACGAATCGACACGCTACCTCCCTCCGCCTGCGCCCGTTCCGCGGATTCTCGTGGGTGCGAATCGGGACCGGATGGCCTAGGCCCTGACGGTGGGGCCAGGGCCCAGTTGCCTGGACTATAACTGGCCATCACCCCCCCGAGGTCGCCTGGGGGTGCCGGAGCTGTGCTGGGTAGGGAGCAGCCAGGGAGCTTGGTCTCGAGCCGACACATGAGGCGCAATAATGGCAGTCAGGCCCACGGCAGTTGCAGGACGAGGGGGCCTGGGGAAGGGCGGGGTCAAAACCGGGGTTCAGGGTTTTAGCAGGACCAGTGCGAAACCTGGGTTTAGGGCTGCAGCAGGGTGGATGTGTAGCAGATGGGTTTAGGGCTGCTCCAGTAGAGTGGATGTCTAGCAGATGACCCTCGAGGGTTCTCGCAAGACGCTGACAGAGGCCGGGGTTAAGGCTGCAGTACGGACCGTTGGCCTTTAGGCTTCTGGCATTCCACCAGGGTTTTAGCAGGACCCAGGCAAGGCCTGAGGTTACAGCTGCAGCAGGGTAGAAGTCTAGCAGTGGGCCCTTTCGGGTTTTAGCAGGATCCGGACTAGACCTAGGGTTAGGGATGCAGTAGGGACGTCAAGGTTCAGTTGGGGCACTTGGTTTGGTCCCTCAGGACAGATCTCGGACCACAGCAAGCGAAGCTGGGTAATGCTCCCAGCGTTTTAGTTGTGACTCTTTGTGCAAGGGACACTGGGCCCGGTTCCCAGCAGGTGCTGCTCCCCAACCAATAGAAAGGAGGCATCCACCGGATGGTCTCGATCCCGTTGGTTCTCTTACCACCACGGGACTGTAGCCCTGCTCCGGATGTTTCGAAGAAGCAAAAAAGAAGAAAAAAAATCAGTTGCAATTGAATGGCATTACCAGGATCATAACAATGATCTTTATTTTACCTGCTATGACATGGCACCACAGTTCGGTTTCCAAGGGAAAAAAACAAACAGAGTGTGCTATCTTAGAATTTGTTGCTAGCCGTGGCTTGGAATATATTACAGCTGCTCGATGTTGATTCTGTGGTCTGTGATGCATTCGCATACCTGCAGGAGTGCGCTTCTTTGGGTGTATTCACGGCACTGCAGGCGCTTCAATATTGCAGCTCGAAGGTTAGTGGTGTGGATTGACATCCCTATGCCTAAGCCTTTGGTGGAGATCTCCTTCGGCAATTCGTCGTGGCTAAAAATATTGTCGTCATCCCACAGCTATTGCCTTGATAAAACTTCCTCTTGTGCGAATTTACAGGCCTATGCTGCCTAAGGGTCTGACCAAAAACTCCGGGGTGGAATCCTCATCATTAGAAACATTGCCGTCATCCCACTGCTAATTTCTCGATAACCATTCCTCTTGATAGCAGTGAGGGCAATTTCCACCTGCTCGGACTTGCCACACTCAATGCACAGTCTAAACTTCTTGAACCCTGAAATGTGGGCATGCTTTACATGGCCCTTGCACCTAAACGATTTGTTGCGATTGCCTGGCATGCATCAAAGGAATGTAGGAGGTTGAGAGGATGGAAAAGTTATAGGTACCACAAACACCATGGACACAGTGGAGAGAACACTAGGAGCTTCAGTAGGAATGTAAGGATTAGGTGGCTGAAAATATTTACTATTTAGCCATCGCAAGTAGCTGCAATGATTATACAATGAACTCGAGTATGTATAGATTGCCTGGTTTCCTCTGTGCTCTTGACATGAGTAATTAAAATAACAAGTGGTGCCTAGTACTGCCTACCATAACTTCACACTCAGCAGAGAGAGGGGAAGGGGGGGTGTGGCGGCGGGCAAAAGAGGGAGGAGGTTGAGAAAAGTTGAGCTCAGTAAATGTCTGTCTGTTTTGTCTGCCTGCCTGGTCAGTTGGTCAGTTGGTCGGTCGGTGGTCTCTCTCTCTCTCTGTTACATGCTGTACAGGCCCCAACTTGTTTCCCTACAGGGAAACTTCCAGGCTCTTGCCTGGAAGCTTCCTTCTGACAGGGCCTACAGGCCCCAGCCTGTTTCCCTACAGGGAAACTTCCAGGCTCTTGCCTGGAAGCTTCCGCAGGGTCTAGGCCAGGGAGGCATTGGCAAGAGCGGCCTCCTACGCATAGGGCAGTTCGGCAGTTGTAGTCTTAAGGATTCGGGAGCAGCACTCTGGAGGGAGCGCTGCGTTAGAGTAGTAGTAGCGTTATCTTGTAGTCTTCAGYRYYGGGCGCAGTAGGTAGCTGTAGTCTCCAGCGCTGGGCGCCATAGCTAGGATAGTGGTARAGAGAGAGAGAGAGAGCTTGGGCGGAGGCCAGGAGTACCTACCTGCAGCGCCGTTGCTCCAGCTTCGTCTTCGAGGTACCTGCAGCACAGCGCCAC